GGAACCCCTAAGGATTGTCTCACCTTTAGATAAGTTCAGCAATCGTTTTTCTGTGGGTCCTGCTTGTCCAGTTCATACAGCATAGCATCAAACAGTCCAGGCAAGAGCAGTTTCTTGCCCAAATGACAAGCAAACTACCTAAGGAACTCTTCGATGCCCATCTTCCTCTTGAAGTAGACTGGTGCTGCCCGGAGCAGATGTGTCTCATTGTCATGAATAAGTACTTCTTGTAGATCAGGTCCATCTCTCTACCTAAAGACCATACAGTTCCATGCATTGATCTCACAAAGTTTCAAAATTCAATGATGAGTGAATTAGATTCAATTCAACATTTTCTCTCTTTGGAACTTCTGTGTGCATCTATTCCTTCAGCTGTGGTTTGCTGCACTTTCACTATGGGAAACTGGGGCAACTAGGAGAATTCTGGGAAGAGAAAAGTTAGAGAAGCAGTCACCAGCCATACACAGAGGAAGCAAAATGAGAATGCTTTACTTATAAAAGGCACCAAACCATGTGGCTAAACACAGACAAGAATTATGGGTTAATTTAAGTTGTAAGATCCAGGTAATAACATACCTAAGATAATAGGACAAACAGTTTATAATTACTATAAGCCTCTGTGTATTTCTTTGGGACCAAACAGCTGCAGAACTGGGCAGGAAAGAAATTTCTGTCTAAAGTATGGTTACCCTTAGCTCTGTGGATTAATAGCTTTATCTATTTGGTAACTTATCAGTAACATCCTGCCTTTCCATTAGTTCTCATTTTCTTGCAGGATCTTAATTAATTATATGTACTCTAAAAAATCCTAGCTTTGGTGTTTGTTTATATTTAATATTTGAATTCATTTTGATCTGATTTTGCATATAAAAGGGATGACCCAAATTAATTCTCCAGTTTTTGATATGCACGAATGAACTCAGCAATTTCCTGAGGACAATTGCTTCATGGTTTTCAGAGAATGTGCTAGACTATCTTCCATCCATGCTCATGTTCAGTACTGGATTCATATCCAGTATGATAATCTTTGTAGCAAATTTAAAATCATTGCCTGAGATTCTTCTGGAAAGGTAAAATGAAGATTAATTTCACTTATAATATAATCAATAATTAGAGGATAGCTTATCAAAAAGGAAAAAATAAAATTTAAACTCTCAAACATCACTGAAAGAACATAAAGAAGATATAAATAAATTCTCCATTAAAATTACTTGTGTGATTGTGACCATTTAAATTTCCCTGTGAATTCAAGGACATTTTTCTTTTGTGTTTTTTTTTCCCAATTCAGAGGATAATAGTCAGGCTTTACTCTAGGACTTGTTATACCTCTGAGCTAAATCAAACCTGAAAAAGAGTTTCTCTATTTGTTCCTAATGAAAAGGAGTATATAATAGAATTTCATTGACTCTATATAATTATGTTAAGATACTGATCCTGCAATAGGAAATCCTTAAAGTCAACTACCAAGTAATGGTGTCACATTTCTTTACATTTTCATTAATTTCTTTTGATGACATTTAGTAGCTGTTTATGATTTTTTGATGATACCCTCTAAGTACTTTAGTTGTCTTTTATGATATTATAGTAGAATCAATTTTAACTAACCTTTCCAGATTGTTCCAGACCCTATTATGGTGGAAAACTTCAGTCTTTCACTATTAAGTATGATGTTCATTATGAGTTTATCATCTATCTCTTTAATGGTTATAATGATTCTTTTCTCACTACTCTTATGCTTGTGTTTTAACATAAATAGATGTTAAACCTGATCAAGTGCATTTTTATTTTCAAGTGAATTAATAATACATAATGTTGTGGGAATTTTATCCCTTTTAGTTAGTGACATTTGGGATGACTAGCCACATGGGCATAGCCACTCTGATACATGACTGGATAAAAACTGAGATCTAGGGATTGTGTTTTCTCTCTCACCTGATTATAAGTGGATGAAGAGTCAGTGGGGGTCATTTCCCCCGTATTCGTGAGTGTAATCCCCATTTAATCCTTTAATACATAAGTCTTCTTCCCAGATATCCATGGGTTTCTCACGTTATCTGGCACCCAATGTGGGGATGACTCCAAAAGGCCCTGCTGGGGCCCACTGCCCTGCATGGCCAAACAACTGTCTCCCATTCCCTACCACTACTCTCCTTTTCTAAATCCAAGCATGTGAATTTAAAAGAAAAATTCAGAGTCAGGTGGTGGCCGTGCATGCCTCTAATCCTAGCACTCGGGAGGCAGAGTCAGGTGAATATGAGTTCCAGGCCAGTCTATTCTACAAGAGCTAGTTCTAGGATAAGTTCCAAATCTACAGAGAAACTGTGTCTTTAAAAACAAAAAGAAAACAAAAACAAATAAACAAAAAACAAAGAGAAAGAAAAATTCAGTCTCTATCCCATATCAAAAAGTCACCAAAATTGGGACAGAAGAAAACCAAAACCTAGGGACGACTCTTGTCACAAATCTCTTTCACCTCATAGTTATTCTTGATTCTTTAGAAAGTTACTTTACATATATCACTATCCTAAAATTTGTTTTCATATTAATATTTAAGATTTCTACTGTGAACCATAAATTTTCCTAACAGCGACCTCTGAAGTCTCCAGAAAGGTGATGGGGTCCCACAACAATGACGCTACCTGATCCATATTTTGCCATTGAGTTAATGAACACCACACAAAGATTGACTTTGGACTACAAACTTCTCAGGACAATTCCAAGTTGGCTATCTTAGATGGTCCACCTCTTATACCACTCTAGTCAGAACTTCTTATGAGAATCCCTACCCATTACTCAGAGATTGGTTACAAGTGTTACAACTTGTCCTCATGAATTTGTTTTTTACTGCATCTCCATTGCAGTCAGCTGGAAGTAATTCTAAGAACACAACACACTCTCTCCCAACATGTGGGATGGATGGTTTCTGGTTTTCTTCAGGGTTATGAATAAATGTCATTTAGGGGTTGGTTATAAGTTGTTATAGTGTTGGGGGATGAAAAATAAAGGTTAGACTCGGGAATATCATTTGGAATAGAAAAAGGGGGATAGATAGGATAGGATAGGATAACAATGTAGATTATTTTATCTACTTGTATACAAAAATACCAATTAACAGTTTTAGATAATTTGTGTTGGTATGGGTTCTGGTATATTGATACAAATGTAAAATTATTCTTCTATTCCTATTTAAAATAATTTGTATATTGATACAAATTCAAACTTTTATTTGTCATACTTTATAGGTGTTCCTACTTCTTTTCAAAATGTTCTTGTATATTGACACAAATGTAAAATTTTTCTGTCATACTGTATGTGTGTTTCTGCTTTTGTTTAGGATATTTTGTATATTGATACAAATTGAGACTATTTTTGTCATATTGCACTATGCGTTTCTACTTCTGATTAAGATATTTTTGTATATTGTCACAATTGCAGGCCTTTGTCCTTATACTGTACTTCTGTTTACAGATTATTTTTATGATGTGAAACTTTAGTCTTTAAATTCTATAGGTTATTAAGAACTATAGATTAATAGTCACCCATATTTTTCATATTCATATTAGTTAGGTTTTCAAGATACACAAAGATGTATTACATATAAATATGTAATCTTCAAGAACTACAAAGACCTACAGAATATGGCATTTAAATGTTTTGGCAGCTTATGAGTCTATTGATGTGAGCCAGGACTGCTTCTGGCAGCACCTATCTACTCCAGAGGCAATGATGGGCACTGAAGACAATCCATATGGAGCTTGTTTCCTTCTTGATAAACTGGCATATAGCCAGTTGGTTGCCACAAATTGAAGAGAGACTTTGTGTGACTGTCTAGGCAGCCAGCTGTTTGTGTCATTTCTTGCATCATTGGGAAGCCTTTTGCTTTTACTTCCTACTTACTCAAACAATATTACTTTCCTTCTCAGGTCTTTGATGGGGTTGAAGACTAGATAGATACAGTTACAATTCCCTCATATCTTAGCTAAGGGTTTATTACATACAAGACAGACTCTTCAGAATAGGACAGCTATAGAGTTGTCTTTGCAATTTGCCAATTACCTATGGCCTGTACATTTAGAGAGTGTTTCTTGCCTGATTTTGCTCTTGTTGATTGTAGTTCTATTTTTGTTTATGCTATTACCTTTTCTTTTCTGCACAATGCTTTATAGTTGTTCTTATTGTATGTAGTTTTATGTTAAGATTAGAATCTTCTTAGAAAAGGAGGGGAAGTGTAGTGGGAATTCGATTTGTTTTGACCAATGACATTTGGGGTGACTAGAACTCTGGGAGTCTCTCTCTCTCTCTCTCTCTCTCTCTCTCTCTTTCTCTCTCTCTCTCTTTCTCTCCCTCATTTGGATGTGGAAAACTTCCTGATATATGATTCAGTGACATGGTCCAAAGCTTTACCGATCCTTCCTTGTTGAAAGAAGAGGAAATGGTATTGCTTTCTCCTGTATTTGTGAGTGTGTGATCCTCATCTAACCCTTAATAAGTTTTCGTCCCAGACATCTGTGGATCGTTCACTTTAATATAATGTTCTCAGTGTGTGTTCATATGTGTATGTGTAAATGTGTGCATTTATGCATGCCTGCATGCGTGTGTGTGTGTGTGTGTGTGTGTGTGTGTGTGTGTGTTTGGGACTAGGTTTATGTGAGTAACGTTCCAAAACCTGGGATACAGCAAGCTGCTTGTTCTCAGCATGTACTATACGACCATTGCTTCCTGCATTGTAGTACCTGTATACATGGCCAACACTCTTTTACAAATAAGGTTTCTCAGAGTATTTTTCAGACTTAGTCAAGTTATGAATCTTTATAGTGCACTATTAAGGATAAAAAGCTCCACATGAACTATTAGCCAAGAAGCCAGGAGGTGGTGGCACATGCCTTTAATCCAAGCACTCGGAATTATGCAAAATAACTCTTAAAATTATATAATTAGATATATTTAGGGACAACTTTTTATACTTTTGTTGTCACTGATTTATTAATTTATCATTGCAGATCAAAAAAATCAACAGAAATTTCCCTGTAAACCAGCAGGTAAGATCAAGCAATACTTGAAACACTGAATCATACTTCTCTTTAGAATGTCTATTATAAAAGGTAATCTTGGTGCCATCTGATTCTTATATAAAAATAATTAGTACTATAAGCTATCTTCACAGAAAATTAATGTTGGATTAATTTATGACTTTAATATATTTTCTTCACTGAATATATGCAAAGTAGGTTTTAAAGATATGCAATCTAAGAAAAAAAACCACCATTACCAAACTAATTATACTGATTTGTGCAAAAATCTGAGGATCTAGACATAGTACTTCTATAAGGTAGTTTTAGTATATCTTAAGTTAAAAATTGTTTTATGTGTTTTGCCTATATATACGGTTTCATGGACTACCTTCAGATACCAGAAGTGGGTCTCAAGGTCTTAGAACTGGATTCTCAGATGGGTATGAGTGCCACATGGATGTTGGGAACTAAACCCTGGCCCTGGTCTTCTGGAAGAGCAACAGCTCTTTACTTCTGAACTTTCTGTCTAGTATCTAGTTTATCTTAATTTTAAAGGCATCCTTAAAATTGGTCTCAGTACATAATATACTGACATACTTCCAGATGAGTATAACTTAGTGGGTAGAATGAAAATAATATATAATTGATGCTATAGGTTATAAACTCATTGCTCTTAATATCAACTTTTATTTATAGCCATCAATCCTACTCTAAGCATGCATCATTCTTAATATGTTAAAAGGTTTTGGCAATATTTTACTTGCAAAACTCATAGAAAATCACTTTTCTGATCTGTAACATTTATATAAAAGACAATTATTTTCTAAATTTATTTTGAATATTAAATATTATATTTACTTAAATAATACCCTTATTATCATTAGAATTGCTGCATCTTAAACATATTTTGTTATATGGACAGCAGCATTTTTTTTCAGTGTAGACTATGCCATTATTCTGGACAGGACTAGCTTATAAAGCTGTTCATGAAGGAAATAGCATGAAATATCTCATCTGGAATATTCTGTGTTTCCATAAAGATCTGACATACATTTGTCACTCTTGCTTACCTACACAGATGATCTTCTATGAGCATATTTGATAATGAACACATTCAGAAGGTGAAACAATGCTGAATTTAGTAATTCTCTAATGCATATTTGAGACACTTGATATTATTGAAGATATAAGAGCATGAAATCTCTGGTCACTAACTGCAATGATATTGAGTTTAGTACCTGTGTGGCTCTGTCCTCTTGAGAAATTCATTCTGGAAGGCATAAGAGTCAACTTCAGAAGAAATGTCAATAGTTCCATAGGACTGTGTTGGGGGAAGGGACGCTAATAAGAAAGTGTTTAAATATAAAGATGCAGGCAATATTAGGTGGATTTTTGTTACTGTAACACAGATTAAAATAGGAAATTTATAGATTTTTTTATCTTTCAAAAATAAAAATAGCATTTCTTTGATCTGTCATTGGCTTTAAGACATCCCAGCCTTCCGCTTTCTAGCCCCAGCTTGTGAGTCTGAGTCTAGAAAGCTAATTTACTGTATTTCATAACCTAAGTAATTCCACACCATTTCTTTACTTATGATGATAGCTACATTTTTTAAAGTAATTTTATTAAATTATAAAAGTTTCCATTTACGCCCCTCTTCCCAACACCC